TAGCAGAAATCTTACTATCCTGTAATGCTTCAAAGCACAGAGAATGTAATTTTTCTTGTCACTAACTTGATCCTCTGAGTAAAACTGGGAAGGAAAACAACAACAAAAAAGTAGCAGCTGAGATACAGGCTCTATTATTATTTACTTTATGGATTTGGAAATCATACCCCAGAGCAATAGGCAGCTGCTTGGAAACTGGTCTTCATGGTGATCTGATCTCATCTGAGGAAGGAACCAAGCAGATTCCTCTTTTCTGGTAACTTTCCTGGGGCAGTTGATGCTCACCTGTGTGGACTGTGTGCCTCAGTAAGCAGCTGTCCAAAACCATAAGCCTTCTAAAATAAATCTTTTAACAAAATAGCTTCTCTGACTGAGTTCTTCTTCCCTGTGACAGTCCGGTTTGGATTCACAGCTATCAGATATTCTAGTGGAATGCAGAACTACTGTGTCTCTGGTGAGACTTATGAGGATCACTGAAGTTTCAAAAGGTGGGGGAGCATTACAGGCAGTGGCTTTTGTCCACTCACTGTGTAACACCCTTTCTCTGTAATCCTAGGTATCTCCGTCTTAACAGATTTTTTTTCTGTTTGCCAAAGCCACCAAGCTCACATTCTGATGTTACGAAGATAGCATATACCTGAGGAAAATAGCTTTGTCTGGGGCAGAAAAGTAGAAAACTCCTTCACACCTTCTTCACTTGCCCTCAGCAATATTCACACTAGGAATAAGAATGTTCTCATGCTTGGGACACAGATGGATGAAAAAGGTATGACAAAGGCAAAGGCTGTGTGCCAAGGTGCCTTGCAGTGTTGGGTCTGCTGGGTACTTACTGCTTGATCAAAACAAACCTTGATTATTGGTACAGCTCTGTTGAGAGATGTCACCCTTATCAAAGGTGGTGTGTCTTGAGGTCCAGTGGCAGCATTCCTGGCTGTGGCACAGAAAGAAGAATTAACAGAGCCAGAACATGAGCAGCAGCTACAGCACTATTGGCAGATGCCTCCAATAGCAAAAAGAGGTTTTGTCTGTTGGCACCATAAACTTTATGCCATGAAGGTGCCATGATTTAGGCTGTGAAACCTAGGTGATGGCACAGTCTACCTGGGGAGGAATCAAGTCCATGAGACCTGATGAAATCCATCCACAGCTCCTGAAGGAGCTGGCAAATGAAGCTGCTAAGCCACTGTCCATCATATTTGAAAAATCATGGCAGTCAGGTGAAGTTCCTGACGACTGGAAAAAGGGAAATATAACCCCCATTTTCAAGAAGGGGAAAATGGATGACCCAGGGAACTAGAGAGCAGTCAGTCTCACCTCTGTGCCTGGCAAAATCTTGGAGCAGATTCTCCTGGAAGGCATGCTAAGGCACATGAAAAACAACAAGGTGCTTGGTGACAGCCAGCATGGCTTCACTAAGGGGAAATCCTGCCTGACCAATTTGGTGGCCTTCTATGATGGGGCTACAGAACTGATGGACAGGGGCAGAGCAGCTGATGTCATCTACCTGGACTTGTGTAAAGCGTTCGACACTGTCCCACACGACATCCTTGTCTCTAAATTGGAGAGACATCAATTTGATGGATGGACCACTCGGTGGATAAAGAACTGGCTGGATGGCAGCACACAAAAAGTTGTGGTCAATGGCTCAATGTCCGGCTGGAGACCAGTAACGAGTGGTGTCCCTCAGGGATTGGTGTTGGGAGCGGTCTTGTTCAACATCTTTGTTGGTGACATGGACAGTGGGATTGAGTGCGCCCTCAGCAAGTTTGCCGATGACACCAAGCTGTGTGGTTCGGTTGATATGCTGGAGGGAAGGAATGCCATCCAGAGGGACCTTGACATGCTTGTGAGGTGGGCTGATGCCAACCTCATGAAGTTTAACCATGACAAGTGCAAGGTCCTACACCTGGGTTGGAGCAATCCCAGGCACAGCTACAGGTTGGGCAGAGAAGAGATTCAGAGCAGCCCTGCAGAGAAGAACTTGGGGGTGTTGGTTGATGAGAAAATGAACATGAGCCGGCTTCAGTGTGCGCTTGCAGCCCAGAAAGCCAACCATATCCTGGGCTGCATCAAAAGGAGCGTGACCAGCAGGTCGAAGGAGGTGATCCTGCCCCTCTACTCTGCTCTCGTGAGACCTCACCTGGAGTATTGTGTGCAGTTCTGGTGTCCTCAACATAAAAAGGACATGGAACTGTTGGAACAAGTCCAGAGAAGGGCCACGAGGATGATCAGGGGACTGGAGCACCTCCTGTATGAAGACAGGCTGAGAAAGTTGGGTCTGTTCAGCCTGGAGAAGAGAAGGCTGCGTGGAGACCTCATAGCAGCCTTCCAGTATCTGAAGGGGACCTATAGGGAAGCTGGGGAGAGACTCTTCATTAGGGACTGTAGTGATAGGACAAGGGGTAATGGGTTAAAACTTAAACAGGGGAAGTTTAGGTTGAATATAAGGAAGAAGTTCTTTCCTGTGAGGGTGGTGAGGCACTGGAATGGGTTGCCCAAGGAAGTTGTGAATGCTGCATCCCTGGCAGTGTTCAAGGCCAGGTTGGACAGAGCCTTGGGTGACATGGTTTAGTGTGAGGTGTCCCTGCCCATGGCAGGGGGGTTGGAACTAGATGATCTTAAGGTCCTTTCCAGTCCTAACTGTTCTATGATTCTATATATCCAAACATACATACATATATACTTCAATTATATGAAGTATAATATTAAAGTTTTGTTTGGAATCTGCCTGTAACATTTACATTCCTACATGTAAACAAACAGAGCTTTTGTGGTGCCTAATGAAAGTCTCCGTTTGTTAAAGCTTCATGCCCACGTACTCCATGAAGTCTGTTTTAGAAGGCATACTTTGCCACAAGACTGATCTCCAGAATTCATACATTTTCACACCAATAGATCTATTAATTTTTAAACTCTAAACCAAATACAACGTAAACGAAGAATGACTTGAGGTGAGGAAGGGACTCAGAAGAGGCGGTAGCTACAATAGACTCTTTCAGAGACTATTTGAGATTAGAGAGTGCTAAAAGGTTGTGTTTGGTCCCAGTGGGGAACTAACTACCCTTCTTATTCTTTCCCTGTTGCATAAGCAAGCAAGAAGCTTTGACTTTGTTGGGATGCATTGACAATATCTATTAATCAGGGGCGGAAACTTTCATCAACCAAATATTCATGCACTGCATCAGTAATGACTTACTAGCACTTCAAGATTTCTGGAAATTCCTTGGCTGTCATCCTATTACCACTCCCAAGTTGGACTATAAGGAGACTTGGATGGAAAATATTAAAAACCTTTTATTTTGTCTGTAGAGAAAGGACTGCTATAAACTGATGGATGTTATGTTAGAGCTTTTTAAATACTACCAAGATGGATTGATTGAGAAGGGAATAAGAAATCTAATAAAAGAAGTAAGATCCCTCTTAACAAAAGCAATGGGAAAATCTGATGGGAAAAAAAAATACTACCTGTAAACCTACATACACATATGTTATGCTTAACTTTATTTTACAGTTAATAGAATGGTAAATAGTTGACTTCACTAGTCTGAGAATTCCAGCACTAAAATGGCTGATAGTTTGAAAATGAATTGAGAAAGATCAATTCATTGGTCTTTGTGATTTCGTATTTGCCTAAAAACCGGCAAATCACAGACAGTACAATGCTGACAATACTTGTTTGGCTCTAAGAAAGATTTGTGTGTGTTGTCATGAAACTGAGCACACAGCAGTGGCTTTCCACTGAGGTTGGAATGTTATTAAGAGTACAAAATATTAATGTCACTTAGAGATGTATGTGTACCCTTGCATTTGTTTTTCTGTAAATATTTGGATATCTGCATTCTGCAAGTGGTGATGTTCTGGAACCTCAAATATCATTAAGTCCAATGTCTGCTATTCCAGACAATGGAATATTGTTTAATATGAAAGATGTGGGATGTTAATGAAAAAATATGTGAAGGAATGCCTTTGAGTAAACATCGTATCTGTTTCTCAAACAACATGCTTATCATAAGACTAATTTGAAGGCTTATTGAGAGACAGTAAGCATGAGCAAACCTGGCATGCTGGTTCTTTCCAGTGTTAACAAAGACTTGGAGATGATCTCACAATGGCTGCTTGCTTGTCAGCAGGAGTGGTTGGTGCTACTGTCGCTGAGAACAGGCAGCTGCCTTACACACTAAACTTTGACTGTTGAAGAAGGTACTGATATTGAAAGAAATAGCCAAAAAGACCCATTGAGCACATTAATTAGAAATTACTGTGGTAACTAGCATTGATTTGTAACTCACAAATAGTCTCTGTTTGTAAGGACATTTAGACTCACTTGACAGTGACAATAGGTTCTCCATGTTTTTCTCCCTAGCAGCTGGTTGTACATCTGCACTCCCATAGAGATGTAGAGCCTGGCAAAGTTTTCCATGTTGTTTTTAGTTTTAGTTCTGTCTTTCTCCACTATTATCAGTCCAGAAAACAGTCATTTGAAACAGCAAGATTTCAGAATATTTTTGTAAATCACATTTCCTTTCAGGAACAATCTGGTTGGAAATACTCCATTACTTTCCATGCCACCAGCTGGAAAACAGTGAAATGTCCATGCTCAGTATTTCTCCAGTTACACTGTACATTAGCTATTCACTGATTGGTTTTCTGTTTAAGAAAGCTTTACAGCCCCATCATGAACACACAGTTGCACAGGGAAGCTTTTTATTAAACAAGATCTCAACAGGGATTGTTGAAGTCACGCTAAAATCTGTGCAACCACCTCTAATTGCAGCGAGTCTAGATGTGCAAGCAGGAAAATTCTCCCAGCTAGGCAGAAGAAGACAATTTTATTGCTAGTCTGCCTTGACAGCTCATGGTTGCTTGAGGAAACTGAGCCAAGCTATCGCTTTTAGCATTGCAGCAGGTGATTCACCAGCAGCTGAATCATCCCTGTCCAAGGTTAGTACATCCAAAACCCAGGGAGGAGGGGCAGCTGGGAAAAGGAAACACAACAAATCTTCCTCCACTAATTCATGCCATCTGGGAGTGACAGCCCATAGGCCTGCAGCTTTATTTGCAAAATATTGTTTACAGTTTTTATTACAAAGTCCATAGGGAAAAAGACTTAATTTTATTTAACAGCTCATCATCATTACACAAACTGTTGTTCTGGATTCAGCTTCAGAAAACAGGAAGCAGTACTCATAAGATTGGTTTGTCAGGCTGGTTTTTGCAGACTTTTGTTGTTAAAGGAACAATTAGATGGGAAAATTGGAACTGAACTCACTGTCATGCAACTGGAGTCTTTCAGTGTTAGAGGTCTTTCTGGTGAGCCACAGAGGATATGAGCTGTCGCAGAGTCTTGACTCACCACTTTGTTTGGTGGCAGCCCAGGCTTACACAGGAGGTCTCTTGACCTAAATGTTCAAAACTGAACAGAAGGACAGCAGTCACAAATGGTTATCTGTGAGCAGATGCCATGTGGTGCCTGTAGCTCACATGTTCCAGTCCTTGCACAATCACTTCGCTAAAGTGTGAAATTGCATAAGACCAGTCATTAACCCTACAGAAGCTGTTCCTGCTGGGTTTGCAGATCTGATGAGCTAGTGAAAGATCCAGCAGGTGTGAGACCTGGCAGAAGGTTGAAGATGAGACTGTCTTAAGCAAGGGGATGGGGTAAAGGCAGCAGGGTCTATGCCATCTGACAATGGTGAGCTGTTAGCTACAATTTAACAAACCTCACAACATTCCGTTTACTGATTTCACATACTACTTAAAAGAAAAACAAAAAAAACCAAATCAGTAATATTTAGTTGCTTTCTGTCTCCTGAAACCAACAATTAAAGACCAAACTTTGCAAGATAAAAGTACACAGTGGATTATTCATTAACCCATAGTGAAGGAAAAGCAAATTCACAGGCTGTGTAATGCTTTAGAACACTTGGCTACATTCAAAATATGTCTCGAAAAACACTTTGATCTGTAGTTTCCATGGAGAAGGATCATCTACTGTACTTCCACTCTGACCATGCAGTGTGGGTTCAAAACAGTTCCTACTGTCAAGGGTGGGGGTGAAAGGAGTGGACACACTTGTCTTCTCAATGGAAAGGTAAACTTTGGCTTCACCTCAGGACAAGAAAACTGGATTAGAACTAGGCTCCAGGTTCCCAGATTAGCTCAGTTTCTATGAAGGAAGCATGAGTGAAGGCAAAATATTCCCGTATCTTGCCGCTCCTTTTCCTCAAACTTTCCCAGACAGAAGGAGTCAGGAATTTAGCATATGGTGCAAGTTCTTAAGGTATAAAAACATTACAAATGTGATAGGAACAGTTAAAGGTGAGGATTTGAGATGTAACAAGTGGTTGGGCATTTCCATACTATGAGTATGGCCTGAGACATAACCAGGGGGCCAAGAATCACAAGGAAGACACACTGCCTAAAATCACAGCTTGCAATTCTGATAGCTTCATCTAAAACTCACAATGCTTGAGCCTGTTATATATTTATTTTAAGGCAGATTTTACACTGGCAATAAAGCCCCTCTTCTAGAGGATTTTTTTGCTTTTAGGTAAAAACATAGTTGCATTATTAAATACTAAAATCTGCAAATACTCTTCAAGTATTCTTTTTCTTCCATTCTGTTTCCGCTTGCTTGAATTATCCTCACAAATGATACCTAGCTTAATAATATCCAAATAGTTTACACAGGTCTCAGAGAAACGGGGGAGGAATGTTTGCTCCTAGTTTTGAGAGCTAAAATGTGATTTCTTCTCCAGAGGGAAAACATGCCCATGACCATACACATGCAGTGAACACTGACATGTAAATGCCTTCATAGATATGTGCTGGTTTCCTCTCTGGTGGTGGTGTGTGGCTTTTTGTTTGATTTTTAGGGGAATGAGGCCTAGAATTTTGAACAATGAAACCATTGGTATAAGTTTACCTGGAAAAATACCTGTCTTCATAGTAGGATTAGAGATGGCCTCTCCAGAGGAGCCATTATAGTTGTGATCCTTGCATCACTTTTTTTTAGCACAGCTGGCAGAATGTGATTTGTGTGAGGAATCTGACAGTTGTTTTTCTCTTCTGGTTAATAAAATCAAAGGTGTCCTTGATAGCAGGGCAAAAATCAGGGAGGACATAAGGAGCAATGAGCTACTGCCTGATGTCTTTTTTGATTTTATCTCAAGAATTAGGTTTTGTAGTACCTGAGGAAGAAGTTTCTGAGGATATGATCTGGCTTCTTGGTAACAGAAAAAAAAAAATACTTTGGCTTCCTATTACTGTCTTTACTGAATCTAAATACCTTTTAACTCTGCTGAGTTGCCAGAGGCTGTGGGCTCTTTATTTCAATGTTTATATATGAAGCAAATCTTCACCCATGCTGCTTGCTTCACCCCCAGATTAAGTTGTTAGGAGCAGATAACACACCTGCTAGTAAGCAGGATGTCACACCTGGGTCTCTTTCAAACAGCTTTGATTCTGTTCAGCAGAGAGAGAACATTTCACAAGGTTATCCTCATTTACAGCAACTTGTGACATTCTGAGGTTCATTCAAAAGAAGAATGTCTAAACTCCTTGATGCAAACAATGTGTTTTCTTACTTGTAACTGGTATTTGAGAGTTTAAGAGTTTCCCATCCATCTCACAGAAGTAATCTTATTCCCCCCAGTCACCCAGAAGGGTTCAACACTGAAGCTCAGTCTTTACAGTCTGCTAACAGGTTCTCTCACATCCATCAGTGAAACTAATGAGCATTCACATGTGTGTAAGTTGCCAGCTCACATCTTTAGGAGAGGTTGTGTGGATGCTTCTCCATGAATCAAGGCTAGTTTATGGATGCAATGACTGAAATATCTTCATTGGGTTATATTAGTGGATAACACTGTTAGAAGAAATACAAGAGAAATAAAAATATAGTGAGGTTATCGAAGGAAAACTACTTGGTGGTGTTTCATTTATTTTGTAAGTGTCCAGAATTTTTTAAGAAAGTGCTCTTAGGAGTCTTTTTTCCTGTTGTCAGAGTTGCCGAACTTTAAAAATAATCAAATTGAAACAAAATATGCTTCTAATTTTAAGAGAACCAAATCAAAACTCCTTTTTAACTAAAACCATGTGATTAGGAAGGAAACAAATATTGTTTCAGCTTCAGAAACCAGGAAATGATGGCTCAGTCTAAGGAATATGTGTATTAAGAAACATAAAATTAACTTGGCAAGCAAATACCCAAATGCTACTGTTTCAAAATAAAACTATTTTCTAACTCACTTTGCTAACAAAACTCTTATTCCAGAGGCTGAAGTGGTGGCATCTAATATTGGTTTGCCTGATTATTTTGCATAACATCAAGAAAAACTTATTAAACCCTACCTAAGAAAATAGAGTAGTCAGCACATGCTGGGGAATGAATGCAGAAGCGATGGGTTAGGGTGGGATCATGGGCAGTGAAAGTAGATGCCTTACTCTAATAAAATCCACACTAAGGACCCACCTTCATAATACGATGTAGAACTGTCATTCTGGCAGCCTAGTAAGCTGTGTTTAGCACTCAGAGAGTGCTGCCTACCCAGAAAGAGCAGGACATACTAGACAATAGCTGTAATGTAAATAAGGGGAATATAAACAAAGTCTTCTCCGATATCTCTTAAAGAAATCTGATCTTTATGCAGGTCAAGAGCTCGAGGTAAGGAGTGGAAAGCTATAACCTCTTTTTTTTTCTTTTTTTTCCTTTGACCAAGTCATTTTGAGGTCATTTGGATAAATACTGCAGGAGTCAGTGTTATCTGCAAGCTGCCTGACAAAGACTCCGTGTCAGACAAAATCCAAAGCACATGATCTGTAATGTCTCATCCAAGACCCATTGTGACAGCATATCCCAAATCCCAAACATCTTTCAGTAGGGAAAGTGATACAGGGAGGCAAATTCTGGCAGAAAAATTTCCATTCTTATGGTGCAATCATCTCTCTTTGGAGAAGTCACACTCAATTATAAAAAGCACCCAACTTTTGTGGTTCTCAGTCTTGATGGATAGAGATGACTTACTGTCCAGAAATGTTGAAATCTGTATTGAATATGGGCTTTTGAAAGAAGAACTCTGCATATGCCAAAGCATTCAGTATCCACAAAAGGGTTTATGCATGTGAATTTAACACAGTGAATGGCTCCTCTTGTTAGAAACTCCAGACATTAACTGTGAGGCTAGAAACAGAGTCCCAGGATGCTTTCTGGGGCTGTGAGAATTTCCTATTCCAGCCCCTTCAGGACACCTTATTATTTATGAAATGAAAAGCAGTGAAGGGGGCATCCAAAATAGCTCATCTTTCTTTTGGCTTCAACATTTTTGAGTTTCAGGGATGGTTGTGTAGCACAACATGAATCCCTTCTTTCAAAATCTGGAGAAGCAGCAGCACTGCAGTAAGCACACTGCTGTACTCCTAGGGAGCTGCCCTTTTTCTGCCTTGAAACTTCCCAGTGCCACTGGCTTCACTCCTTCCACTCCAAAACACAGCAGCTTAGTAAAGCACCAAACTATACTGCACTAATAAATTTATTGGGAAAGTAGTTGATTTGGCTCCATCTAGTTCAATGAAAAGCAGTTTATTAAGTGAATTCACTTACCTAAATTTGCTGAATATGTTCTTGTAATACCACATGTCGAATGTCCCTTTTAAAGCTTGTGCAAGAACATCTGTGGACCTCCTGTGTCAGAAACACCTCATCAAAAGTATTAATCCTTCACTGAGCAGAAAATATTATTTCACTTGGGTTAGTGCAGAATTTAGCAATGTAAAAGTTGGACTAGAAATAAATCACAAGGGAAAACATGCACATAAAATAATTCTCTGTAAGTGAATAGCAGTTCTAGACCTGATAAAGGATGCAAAAACCCCCATAAATGAATCCATTAACATTTTAAATTAGCAAATTGCTCTGATTTTAGAAAGTGTCAGTTTCTTGCTGCTTTACAGAGGCAAACTGGCAGCAATAATCAGCAACAACTGACCTCGTGAGCACATTTACATATGACCAGCGTGCATTTCCAGACCTGTATAAAAATCAAGCATATCAGTACCCATTTGGGTCAAACTGAGCATGAGGTTTCCCTGACGCAAGGAGCAGCTGGCTCTTTGCAAACATCCAGCTTTACAGCAGCCTTTCCGGCAGGCTGATATCCTGCAGCTGCCAACTGGAGGAGTCCTAGAGAGATACTGATGCTCTCTGCCAACTCCTGGCTGGCAATTTTTCTACACTGCAGAAAACCAAAGCACTTTGTGAACTCTTCTTGTCCCACAGCGACTCTAAAAGAGCTGAGGTGTTAAAGTATTTATTAACATAATTGATTCTCAGGGTTTTGAACATTAAAATTTAAAGGGCAGAAACCTGATAACTGCTTTTAATGCACAGGTAGGTAAAACCTATCAGTGAGCCTTTTCAGTTTTTTTCTACTCCTCATCCATGTGGGCTTGCAGCACTTAATTGCAGTGTGATCATATCTGGTACTAAAATGACTGGCACACTGTCAAGAAGACTATTTAAACTGCCCAGTTGGAGATGCTAGGAAATTGTGACTCCTTCTAGGTTTTATCTGTCTGCCATTTCATACAATACAGCAGAGACTAAGTAATCTGGGAGGTTCCTGGAGCAAGTGGAAAATAACTTCCTGACACAGCTGGTGAGGGAGCCAACTAGGGAAGGTGCCCCCTGAACCTGTTGTTAGTGAACAGAGAACAAATTGTGGGTGATGTGATGGCTGGAGGCTGCCTTGGGCACAGTAATCACAAAATGAGTTTTCAATTCTCAGAGAAGTAAGGAGGGGGGTAAGCAGAACTGCTGCCTTGGACAAAGCTAGTGAAGGGTCTAGAGCACAAGCTGGATGAGGGAGCTGGGGCTGTTTAGGCTGGAGAAGAGGGGTCTCAGGGGAAACCTCATCACTAGCTACAACTACGTGAAAGGAGATTGCAGCAAAGTGGGGTTTAGTCTTTTCACCAAAGTTAACAAACAATAGAACAAGTGGAAACAGGCTCAAATTGAACCAGAGGAGGTTTATATTGGACAAAAGTTTCCTCACCAAAAGGGTTCTCAAGCACTGACAGGATGCCCAGGGCAGTGGTTGAGTCCCCAGCCCGGTAAGCATTTTAAAGAGGTGTAGATGCAGCACTTAGGGACAGTTTAGTGGTGGACTTGGCAGTGCTAGGTTAGTGGATGGACTAAATCTCACAAGGTCCTTCCCAACCTAAACTATTTGATAATTCTAAGAATCACAGCCTTTGTGTACTCACAGCTTTGAATACCCAAGTCTCTTTTTCAAGCACAGAAAAGACTTGCTTGACCTGTGATAGCAGCTGTGGCTTCAGCATTTGCTCCCTGTCTTTTGCTGCTCTCTCAGACACTCTACATGATCCCATCCAGCCCAGGGGTAGGAGTGTGGCTGCAGCTACACCTTGAGGTGCCCAGCGTCTAGCTGGGCCTAAAAGCAACTTTTTTTCCTATTGCTGCTTTTCTATTTTGTAGCTGGACACACTCTCCAGGCTGAAGCGGTGCACCAGCTCCACTGTGAGGATCAGAAAGAGGCACCAGCTGGAGGGGGAGGAACAAGGAACTTGGAATGGCAGTTGCTGAAGGGATGCACTGAAAATATGACCATCAAGTAATATGGCACACCGAAAATAAGTTTGCTTTTAGTAGACTTTACAATCATTCCCCAGGGCTAAAGGAGTGAAATGCTTATTCCATAAATCCCCAAAAGGCCAAGGTGTGGACAAAGACCTGGTCCATCAGCACTGCTGGCTCCAAAGTGCAAAAAGTGCAAAGCAGAACATGAAGCACCAGGGGCTTTTGATATCAAAGTGTTTGGCATCCACAGACTCTAAATGTCTGAACACAGAGACAACCAATAGGCCCTTAAGGATCTAATTTTAAATCCTAGAGTCAAAGTGGTCCTTCCACCTTATATAGATAGGACCAGCCCAGGATCTTAAACTGTCATCTTTAACTTATTTAAGGAACTGCTTTTCTTTAGCTGTCAAGTAGAATACTAAACCACAGCATTTCTTAGACCATAAGTAACATCTGTGCAAATCCATCCACCACTAGGAGACCTAGAGGCAAAGAACTGACGACTGATATTGCAGGATACGGCAAATTCATAGCACACATCCTGCTTTAGGATCTCTCCTCTATCTTCAATCCATCCTGATCACTTCAACAATTGTTCGCAACTCCAGAACCAAGGACTGCTCAGGGTTCCACGTTTCATGGCAAGAAAAATTTTTTAGATGTGACAAAGAAATATTACCAACAGGCTGTCTCTGTGCAAACAGACTGCAATCTTTTATCATCAGTGAAAAATGTTTAGATTCTTTAGGCTTAAGTGTTTGTAAGCTTGAACTGATTTCTGCTCTTAGTCTAGCTTTGTCTTAGAGCTGTGAATTGCTTTTAGTATATTCAGCGGGTGTCTCTTTCTAACTTGGACATTATCTTTTTTCCTCATTATACATCACCTAATTCATATTAAAGTTCTTCTCCCATTTTGACAGACACTAATTCAATTTTGTTGCATTCATATGAAATAAAAATCTGACCCCTGACCTATACAGTTCCCTAACTGTATAGTTTGCAGGTACTTAACATTATCTACCACTCATATTCAACAGCTTTTACTGAAAAGCAGTTAATGTTTTCTCTTCATCCCTTCCAGTAACAGTAAATCTAGAAAAAGGGTTGCTTTTTAAAAAGTTTTGTTGATTTGTTACTATTTTAAATCTAGAGATCCATAGCACATGTGAAATGTTGTTTTGCAATGACTGAGAAGGGGTTATTCTTATTTTACAGGGCAATGGACAACATTAATATTCCCTGGCACAAAGGACAGGTTTTGTGCCAGGAAACTGTCACATGAAGTATTAAACAGAACATAAACACGGCATAGTGAAGGTGCTGAAGTACAGGAATTTAAGAGCATCTTTCCAAAAGAAAAGGCTGAATTAGGAAACCTTTAAGAGAAAAAATACAAAGCATATTGGAGAACATGTGAATTTAAAATACTGAGTGGTGAGAGATAAACATAAAGGACTGTCAGGCAAAGCTGCATGCATTTCTGTTCCACTGAGGATGTTAGACACAAGATAAACCCTTTGTTAGACGAGAATGAAACACACAATAGAGAAAAAGCTAAAACAGAAGACAATTATCTGTGGTAATGTCTGCTGTAAAAGGCTAAAATGTTTTCCAGGTAAAATAAGAGTTTGGCATTGACAGAAAATGTTAGTTACACAGCAGCTTCTAAACACTGCCCATAGCTTGTATCCACTAATGTGACCCAGAATAAATACGAAAGGAGGCAAAATGTTTTTGAAACTGTTTGAAAATGAAAGCAACGTTAAAGGAAACAGCAGGGATTGAGCAATTTTCGTTTTTGTTTCAAGTCTGTGTTCTGCCAAAATCACTTAAATATCAGGAAGTATGCAGTGCACAGCTGTTTATCAAAGTAAAATAGGTAAAGAGGTAGCCCAAGGGTAGGTAGACTTTTAAGAGAGCAGTAATTCATCAGCAATTAATGTTTGAGTTAAAAAAAAAACAACAAAACAACCCAAGCAACAACAGCAGGTTGTGGAACAACCTCTAGACAGGTTCAAGTTAGGGCTGGGGCTCCAGACAGAATCTATTCAAACTAAATGTTGCAAATAAACATGGAGGTTGTGAATATGACTAATCCTTTGTGGTATAAAGTACACGGAAGTTAATGCAAATACCACTATTTACTTAGAAGTGGAAAAACCCTAGATATGGAAAACGATTCTCAAAATTAATTTTAAAAGAATCTTCTTAGGGAAAAATAGATGTGTGCCTTTCTTCATTGACAATGAGGATTATTAGCTTGGGGAAAAAAAAAAAAAAAAAAGAAAAGAACCCACAACAAAAGAAATCTGTCCAGCTGACAGAAGAGCCATGCCATCCAATTTCTCTGATTTTGTCAGATATTATATAATAGATTAAGGAACTGCTCCCATAGACAGCACTGGGAGAAAGCATTTCATACTAAATGGCTCTCATGCCAGTCCTCGTAAGAGATTTGCTAGGGAAGGAACTAGTAACAAGAACTAGACCATCTGCCACATTACTTCAGCATCAGAAAGGCAGGAAACATTTCGTAGCTCTCAGCCCAACTTTAGTGTTATTTTTATTGTTCCTTCAGTGCCACAGCTGTGTACAGGCTAACAACAAATGGCAGGTTGCTGCTCAAGGAGCCAACAGCCTGAATTACAGACAACGTACCACCATAAAACAAAGGAGACTGGAAAGCTCTTTTGAGAAAGGGCTATCAGAACTTCAAGGCACTGTAATAGGTTGCCCAGGGAGGTTGTGAATGCTCCATCCCTGGCAGTGTTCAAGGCCAGGCTGGATGAGGCCTTGGGTGATATGGTTTAGCGTAAGGTGTCCCTGCCTACAGCAGGGGGTTGGAACTAGATGATCTTAAGGTCCTTTCCAACCCTAACGATTCTATGATTCTAACTTAAGAGATGTTTTCATTAGCTGCCTAATTAGCAGTTTATGTAGATACACAGGTAGTTTTGGAGTTTGCTGCTAAAATAGCCTTTTTTATTAAATCCCAGGGAATTAGCCGTGTTTTGTGAAAACAAAAAATACATTGTGTGAAATGTGTATTTTGGGTTGAAAGGAAAGATAGTGTTGCAAAAAATAGATTAAAAAAATCAGTTGTATAATACATATATGAGCAGGGAAGATATTCCAGCCAGAGAGAATGGAAATTAGCTCGTGAAAGATTACTAGGCATAAGGCAATTAGGGAGGATAAAGCCATAGAACAAAACCTCCAAGATGAACTTTGAACTTCAAGCATCGATGGTGATCAAAGTTAAAACACAGGGTTGAAAGCAGAGTAACTGATAAAGCAAAACGATATTACTGAAATCAGGATTTTATTGTACCTGAAGAAAAGAAGTTAAAATAATAATGCAATAGGAAAACGGTGTCCAGGGCAGAACATAGCCATCAGTGCGAAGACAAGAGGTTTGAGCTTATTGAAAGGGATGCTGAAGACAGGCAAGCCACAAAGGAATTTCAAGTTAGCAGCTCAATTGTCAAAAGCCAGGTAATCACGTGGGATTTGAGGATCATTACACAGAAAGCCTTAAGACTGAAAATCCTCAGAAAGGAATTTTAAGATAGAACTCATCAGGATAGAAACTTAAAGCATGGAGAGAAACGACTTATTCCAAATCTGACAAGTCTTAGTTATTATATACATGGTATCATATGTATAAACCATACTACGGGTTTATTTTAATGACCCATTGTATTTAGTCAGTATAATGCAGTACTTCCCTCTTAGAATTTTCTTCTATCAAACAGGCTGCAACAACAATATAAAAAATCTCAAGTAGCTTGTTTCTTTTACTTTGCACTATTTTCAACACTTGCAGAACTATTTCCTCCAGTTGCCTCAAATTATTTCAAGAGAACAGCCTGCAATAGTGTACTATTTTTCTAAACTTTTTTCCACAATAAGATTACTTTTTTTCAAACCTCTTTTGAAGATTTGACTATAAAGGTGCAGATACTTTCAGCATGAGTTAGGGGCTGCCTCCAAAGGTACTGGAACAGAACAACATTGTATACTCTACATTCATCCTGTCTGTTCTGCAGAAGTTTTAGGGAAACCTTCCCTATACACATGGCCTTGGTAACAAGAGTGTGAAAGTTTTATTACGAGACCACTCAGAGCCGCAGCACATGCAGCTCCCTGCCTTTCAAAGCTTCAGCTATTAAGCCTGAAGAAGTTTTCGGGACACTAGAGCTAGATGACATCTAGCACCTTCAAGAGCACAGACTAATCCCAGTTGTGGCAGCACACAACTTCGAGCCAAACATACCAAGTACAGACATGCACTGGGAAGTAATGGGAAAGATGAGATGGTAAAAATGTACAGATGGGAGCCTGGACATTCACCTGAGCCTGACAGAGAGCCTGCAGCTGCTGCTTAGTGCTCAGCTGCTATCAAATGACCACAGTGAAAAATACTCTTTTCAGGACCATATCCCAAAGCTTCTCAGGCTACACAGAAACCTCTTGCTTTCCAGCAGTGCTTGAAACTGCCCTCCTCTTCTGTTTATAGAGACAGCACCAATCTTCCCTTTCTCCTGCATGATTTCTGTGATCTCTGTGGGAAGAGGCTAAAAAAAGCTCGAAAAAGCCAGTAGTAGGTGGAGTGAGTCTGTTTTCATGCAGTCTGTTGTGCAACAGCACCATCCAGCTGTCAAAAAAAATAAAACATTAATGCCACTACGCAGATTTGGTCCTCGTACCACAAGCAAAATGAAGAATTACACCTATTAAAACCCATAGGTCTTTTTCCAGATTCTGAATTAATTATATTGGTCCACTGTGTTATGTTTTCTGGCCTAGTACACAAGAACGTACTTCAGCAAAACAGAACTCAGCCTAGTTTTTCTGCCCAGTAAGACTGGCAGGCTACAGCTTACCTCAGTGTTTCAGTGAAGTGTGGAATGCAAACTCTCCAGTATGAGGAAAAAAACTGTATCTTTGGCTCACCATCAAAGACAGTTAACCACACTAGAAAAATTAATGGAAACAAAATCAACAATTTCATACATAAGAGCCTATGTGTTAGCTATCATAACTTACCACTCTTGAGCCTCAACAGTGAAAGCAAGAACATCAACGTTCAGTTAGGGGGAAAAATGATGACAACTTAGACTTAAGTAATGAATTACTCAAGAATCATTATGACCTGAGGAAGAAAACTTCTTGCTTTCCAAGATTTTTCATAAAGTTGTCTTATTTAACAATAAGGCATATGCAACAGAAATAAGTAAGTGGCATTCTCTGCAATGGTTAACAGACTGCCCAAACTAAACCTACAAGGTCACTGCTTAAATTGCCCCCAGTTCTTCACTAAAATCAATTCTGTCGTAACACCCACAGGGAGCTTACCATGTGTGACCAGTGATGACCAGGAAGTCTAATATTAGAATACTGATCTTGCATTACATGTGCCTTAGCCTGTCCTGTGATCCCACATACTTGCATTGATACTTGAAAGCAGGGAACACATCTCCTTTTCTGACTTTCCAAAGTCCAGTCCAGTCACAGTTCTTTAGAAATACTTTACAAAGTAGTATAGTGTGCCATTATAATCTAAAGATAAGCCTGTCATTTTTTAAAAGAAAACAAAAACAGTGGAAACTTTCCAAGTAAACACTGACAGGAAAATTTTGTAAATGCAACTATTAGCCTATGAGAAAGGGCACTTTGACACTCAAAGAAAACCTGAAAGGAAAACCTAGGATAAATAATATTAAGGAACTTGAGCTTATGGAAGGAACAATCAGCATAACCACATCAAGAGGAGATGCTGGTTTTTTTTGCATAGAACTAAAATGTACAGTATATTTTCATGTAAGCCCAGAACATAAGAGCATAGCAACAGGCAAACAGCAGCACTAGAATAGTAGGTAAAGCTGCAGAAGCAAAGAACATGCCCAAAGATACAGCAGAGGTGCCAAATGACAAACTTGTGCCAAGTAGGAGAGAAGGTGCCCTTAGACAGCAATGCAGCAAAACCAGAAGGGTCCAGAGAGACACAACCCTAAGGAAGAGGGGACAGTCAGCTCCCCAAAAACTAAGATGAACAAGATTATCAAGCAGAGGCGTGGAAAATGAGGAAGTATTATGGCTAAGTTTGACTAATGAAAGCAAAGAGCTCTCTAAGACAGGTTGAACAGAGAACACAAGACCTTCAAAAGGAGCTTTATTAGAAGTCACTGCAAGACTACATCATCAGATCAGAGACAAAACAAAACTACTAGTTAAAATAAAAGCTGGAATGAGAACTGACCAAAATGCTCAAATTGGCAAAAAAGAACTGGTGCCAAATGGACAAAAAAGGAAAAACCGGTATGTAGGACAGTATTGGAAGAAGGCGACAAGGAGGTGGTGAGCAATAAAGAGCCTTTGAATCTGTAATGAAAGTTTGCTCTCCATTACACACACAAAAATATCAGCAAAATTTTAATTTTAGGTGCAGAGAAAGTAATTTAAAATAAAGAATCTGACAATCTTGATTGAAAAAAAGTCTATTTCCCTTGCCAGGAACTGACCAGGGAACTTGTGACATGGCTTGGAGGCTGCACAGCTATGCTCGGAGAAGTCAAAAAGCATAGAGTTACACACTCCTTCCAGTAACAGAAAGGGCATGATCAATCCATTTCAAAACTCAAGATGCATAAGGGGAACAACAGACAGAAAGAAGAGGAGGAGCAAAAGCAGATCTCCAATTGTTACTAGTCAGGTAAAATAACAATGGTGAAGGTGGAAATAGCATAAAAATCCCATTAGCACAGAAATAGGCCTCCAGTGGAAAGAAACAAGACAAGCCAGACATAAGGAGAAACAGGAAGCCATGAAGTCTTTCCAAAACAGTCTAAATAGAGAGACAACACTTTTACACCATCCTCCATGAGGTCAGCCAGAGTTCTGCCAATTTGATTGCAGTGAGTCCTAAAGGATTTAACATGGAACTTGAGCTCATGACAGCCTTTTGTGTGTTTTACCACAAGCTTTTAAGCCAAGACACCAGAAGGTACTAGAGGTAACAAAACTGTTTCCACTAGACAGCAACTCATTTACACTTAGCAGTTGTTCAGTTTAGCTAAGGAATCAGTCTCACTTAAGATCAGAGTACCTGTTCAAACTGAGCTTTGATAGTCTTGTATGAGTAAGCATTTCCAAATCTAGGGCTTCAGCTGTCCAGAGAGCCTTACAGAGATGTACTATAGTTAAACCTGCCATGTCACTCAGTATATGTTTACACGTCTGCGAGTCCCTCCCACGTGTCCACCAGTGAAGTATCTATTTACTATTCAGAGATGATACTATTCAGTTCAGACCCAAGGAGTTCAGTTCTATTTTCATCAATCTCTCTAACCTTGTAACAAGCAAACCTGATTTATTGCAAGCTTCTGCTCTCACTGATGACTGCAGTGGCAGACTTAATGACAAGCTTGTTGGATTTGGGATTTTAGTTCATGAATGGTCTTATTAAACTGGGAACACAGAATACAACTTGTGAAAACAGCGGTAAGATCACACACAGTAAATACACATTAGTAGGCGGAATAGCTGGATACCAGCAACACGTTGCACATACCAGTCTCTTAACCTGCTCCATTGTTAGAACTACACAGCAACACTCACCAGTTCTCTCCTTTCAAACAGATTTTCTGTGAGTCCCGTTAATTTTATATTTAGCATTTCAGAGCAAGTTAGTTTCTACTTCCAAAGTACCTAGACATAATTTGTGTCAATACTGTGTCTTCCAGTGAGAGGCCAAGTTCCCAAGACAGGGAGTATGAATAAAACCAAGAAGTTTTATCCTAGAAAGCTCACACATTTCCAAATTTAGAAGCTTATTTTAATCCAAGATATGGCAACTGTAAACTCCAGTTCATGAAAGATAAACTTGCTGCCGGTAAATCTTCATATGTATGGTGGAAACAAGTCAAGCAACCCAAGTTTCTAGTTAGTAGGGCTTCCCCATCGATTCCAACATTTTCTTTCTCTCTTCTGCTGAAGGCATCTCTGGTTTCACTCCATTTCTTCTCCTTTGCATCATAACGGCATGCTGAAAATAGAAAATGACCATGAGAACACCGATTTCTCAGAAATCTCTGCCTTGGAGCTCTGAATAAGATCCTTTAATAGAAGTACTCTTTATATATCAAGAGCCTGATACTCTGATTAGCTGATAACTAAATGTGCTAGTACTTAATTGAAGAAATCAGATAGTTTACCTTGCTGCTTCTGAAAATAGTGTAATGGGAATACTGTAACTTCACTATGTCAACTAACATCTGTAAATACTCTTTTTATAGTTTGTGCAAGGCTAAGCTAGACAACTCTTTACTACTATGGCATGCGAAAATAGAGAACAGTTTAACTGCACATAGTTCCTCATGATGCTTCTCTTCCACAAGAGAGAAGGAAATAAGGACACCATCAAATAAGAATGAACTCTTCCTAAGCTTTATCTTAGGTTCAAGTAAACATAACCCAAAACAATGGAAAAATGGGAACTTACTTCAGTTTTTTTTCCATTACATCCATTTAAAACAAAACTTATTACTAGAAACATCTGACGCAAATTCAGAGGGAAACATTATCAGGTACTGCAAAAAGACTCATAATGCAAGAGGGTAAATTTAAGAGAACCAAGTACTTTGATGTGCACCTGCTTAACTCTTTCAGCAATACGTACTGAGACTACCTAGGTAACTGCAAGTTACCATAAAAACAGCAGCAGTCAGCACTTAAGTCTGCAGAGTTCAGAAAGCAGTGTGTCAGAAGTAATGTACTTAAAGCAAGGCAAAGAGTAAAATTCAGAAAATCTACTGTGCTTACCCAGAATTTTCTGCAGTTTCTGTACTTCAAGAAATAAGCAGTACACTTATCCTTATTATAGTTGTTGTCATCCATGCATTTATTAGAGGCATCTGTTTCCTTTATTAGGGAAAACATAGTTCAGGGCTGACGGAAGTTAATGTACTCAAAGTCTAACAATTCTAACAAGTCCCAGAACAAAGACAGGAGGCAGCTTCTCAGATGAAATACTATCAAAGAGAGCAGAGGAACATCTACCACAAAGAATAATCAGTAAGTCCAAGCAATGACTTCATTTGAAGATAACAGACATTAGTGCTCTTTAAATAGTAAGGATAGAGTCCATAGAATAGTTGTTTACAAAGATGCTTGGAATAACCCACAAAACATTTCTAAAAATCAACCAAGCTTGTCTAACCAGGATTTCCGGCTCTGGTTTTAAGGACAAAAAATTGAAAAGACTGTTATCAGCTGTATTATTCCTATTTATGAGGAATTACTTGTTATTTCACACTTACTATAATGTATGATTTTCCCAACTTCAGACTCTTTAAGAAACTTTTAATGCAAAATGCCAATGTGAGAGGGCTACCCATAAAAAAAAATCCTCTAGAAATTGTATTATTTAACTTTAAAACATACAAACAGAAATCCAAATTTGATCATCTTACCACTATACATGGATTTACATCATGGTCTCTAAGTTGTGCATGCCTGGACATTCTGGACAGACACTTGTACCTTGGCTAGAAACAGAAGAGTAACAGGTTAAGTATCCACTTTCAATAGTAAATCAGGATTAAGTCTGGGTTTCAGCATGTAATAAAGGCCCTCCAATAACATACAGTTTGGCTGTCTTAAAAAAAAGATAACAAACCACCCCCACCACACTTCTTTTGCAAAATACTACTTCAAAAGCACTAGCAGCAAGACAACTCAAGCAAGTTTAGCCTGTCACTAAGAGTGCTTATTCCCTAACAAACTCCTGCAGAAAATAGAGCCATGGCAGTGACTCTTACACCAGCCTCTCGTATCATTGAGGGAGTGACCTTGTCTAGTAGAAGTAACTCCACAGAACCTGCTCACAGCCAACACACTGGAGACACTTAAACAGTGTGTGGGAGCAACGTACAAGTAAACTTGTCAAGATTTGTGGCTACTCCTTTGCTAGATCACATCTGTATCTCCACTGAGCTCTCCCAGGCGTAACAAGTGCCCAACCACCTCCTGTGCTGCTGTGTCAGATCTTACTTAACAGAAGAAGAAATGGTTCCACTGCAAGGAGGGACCAGACCCACTTACACTGCGTATGACAGCTTGAATCATATTTTTCACCAGTTCAGTAGTTTAATACTGACTCTAGGAACTGTAAGCTTGAAACAGAGTTCAGTGCCAAGAACCTAAACTGATCCAAGATGATGACATCAATATGAACAGCAGACCCTCATTCCCTTTACAACTTCCCATACATTGCCTCAGGCACACATATGGCCATGCAGGTATTTGTTCTAAACAAACACGAAATCTAACAAAAAATAACGTTGGCCAGATGACTGTCTTTGCAGCAAATTAAAGTACAGCTGATCAAGGAAACTGCTGAAGAACATCCTTGCTTGGTCTTATTGGGGCTTTCCTAAAAACATTACTGCTAATTCTAACTTAAACCTGTTTCTGTTCACATAAGAGACTGGTAACTGCAAATCTGCAGTAAAAAGCCAGTTTTGCTTGATACTAGCAAACAAAAAAGACCAAAACAAAAAAAAAAAAAATCAAAAAAAAAGGCAAATACTGCTCTTACTAGCTCATAGACAGAAAACAAAGTTTTAGATTGATTCAAAGAAATCACTCCACAGTACACACTGTAAAGCACAAGCCTTTATTGGCACCAGGAGCACATGGGGGTTCAAACCTCCATACACAGGTCCAAAAAAGAGTAAATCTTAGGAGTTCTTTTATACCTTTCATCTTGATGTAATTTTACCTAAAGGATACATTCATAGAATTTGGTTAAGTTACATAACTTGTGGTTTTCTCATTCTATTGTGCTAGTATTAATCAGGATTCTTACAGCTGTTTATGTTTGAACACAGTATGAGTGATTAACTGCTAATAACTGTGAGCTACGTGCTTGGTTCTTCATTCAAATTGTTACTGTATTTTGCCATTAGGGATGTCCCTGCTTATAAGCAACTTACAAAAACAGACGCAAGGCTGCCTACGTACCAGAGTTCTAATTCACTGTATATCATTCTATACCAAGAGAACAGGTCCTTACTTGCAGACGGGCTTGTGTTGAACATGTGTGGTCATACTCTGCTTAAATAGCTGTTATGTCAAATAAGGCCTAATGGCTTGGTCTCAATCCCCCCTTTTCTTCAAAATTGTGCAAATTCTTTTGTGCAGTCCATAGTATGTACACTTGCTGAGCTACCGTACGAACATTCCACCATATCTACAAATTAACAATAGTTAATAAGGCTATAGTCAGTATTAGCATAAGAACGGGGTGGACCAGAAAATTCAGAAGTTGAATTGCCATAGGAGATTGCCATTTTGTCCCTCCCAAGAAAATTTTCCACCAGTGGTGTTCTCCAGTTGTCTTGATGTTGATGATGATTTCTTTAATTTCTTCTACATTGTGCTTAACAGTCCACATTGCTCACTGGGAAGTTTCACTGACCTTATGTATCATCTTCTCAAGGTCTGGGTGATATAACATTTTCTTTGAAAAGAATGAAATTTCTATTTCATTCCAATTTGTAGGAGAGATATATCGTGGTATAACAGAGTTATCTGTATTAGTTGATTAGTTGCTACAGGGATGGTGTAATTAAAATCACATCCAATGATTTTGGTGAAATTTCATACAGAAAAGTTGGTAGCACTTGTTTCTTCAATACAGCTATCAATTGTTATATTCTCACACGCAGTTCTTATGCAAGAACATCCCTTTTCAATGGAATATACTTGGGAGCTTGAATGAATGACAGGGATAATTTTGAAAATGCAAGTGCTGTCTTCAGTACAGAGGCAGAGATCTTCATTTTCAGTTATAGCACTTTCACAGATGAACCCTAACTGTTCTCTCTGAGTACAAGCCTCTATGCTTATAGTTTGTCAATTCTGGGTCTTAAATTTTGCCCATACACTGTGTCCCATCGGTCTGACTACAATGGCTTGGTGTATGGTCTCTAGAGACAAACACAGGAAATATGTCTAATACTTTGTCATGTTCAGTTGTCAATACAAAAGCAGTAATTTCCCTCTGAAATGGGTTATACGTGAAATTTACCATTTCCCACCATGCTTGATGTTTTCTCAAAATCAGTACTATTTCTAACAATAATTGTTCATACTTCTTGTCACAAAAGTCCTGTTTCTCCTTCCCTAATAATAGCCACTGCAACAGATTGTAACCAGAGTTGTGACTGAATCCAGTCTAAAGCTAGAGACAGATTTCCTTGCAAATTCCCTATAAAATTAATAATGTGATATAGGTCCTGGGCAGTGTGTTCTGCTAACACTGTTGTAAGATCACTTGCCAACTGCTGTGTTTGGGCAATGGTCAGGTGAGATGATCTGAGTGAAATTTCCGGATTTCCTAGCTCCGAGGTGACTGTACTTAATTTATTTACTAAAGCTTCTTGATCAACAGAGTTTAAGACTCCCATTCCTGATCCGAACCATCCCATCAAGTCCATTCTGTGTCTAGTACAGGGTATTCTAGACTGAATCCAGGCTTCCCATCCTACAAGGCTTTGGTTAATAAAAGATTTACATTCCAATTTTATGGTTGAGATATCAGCCTGATATAAGTCTTCCCCTTGATACTGTACAGTATACAGTCATACATAAAGCATTTCAAAAGGGCTTAGTTTCTCTTTTAATGCCAGTCTAACCCTTATCCGCAACAAGGCTAGAGGTAATGCTTGACTGCAGTTTAAATTAGCTAACTAATTGTAACTGCCAATCAATTTGTACTATCTGACTGATCTGCTGTAGAACTTGTGCACAAAACCAAGTACCTCTATCTGAAAATATGGTCGCTGGTACTCCAAATCTGGGGGTTATTTCATTAAGGAGCACCTTGGTCAATTCTCAAGCCTTGTAGCTCCAGGTTGAAAAGGCTTCTGGCCAGCCAGAGAAGGTATCTGTTAGTACTAAAAGGTACCTGTACCCCCCTTTTCTGGGTAGTTCAGAGAAATCAATATGGCATTGTTTTCCAGGGACACTGCCCTTCCCAATTGTCCCTAAACTGGGTTTATTAGTATCTGGAGATTATTAGAGGCAGAGTTTGCACTGTTTTGTTATTTGTGCTACTGTGGTGTACAGGTTACATCCCACTACTTGTCTCTTTAAACTATTATATAGGGCAGCTGCTCCCCAGTGTGTCTTATGTTCTTCTTGAACTATTTTCCATAATATTTGTTCTGGCACTACTATTTGTCCTTCAGGAAGAACATAAATTTTATTTGTAAGTTGTGCCTTTAAATCCTAAGCTAGTTTTAAATCTTCTTTTGAATAAGAAATTTCAGAAGTAACACTTCCTATCTTTACAGTTAGTATTATGACCAGTAGGTTTACTACTTCTTCTGCCGCTCTTTGCCTCTAGATCCACCAGTCGGTTCCCATTATCCTCATCCATGTCACCCCTTGGTGTCCTCTGCAGTGCATCACTGCCACTCACTTCTGTAACTTTATAGCTTCAAGAAGCCTCAATATTTCCGCAGAGTACTCAATTTGTTTTCTGTGAGACATCAAAAGCCCGTGCTCTTTCCACACAGCCCCATGGGCATGCGCTACTCCAGACACATATTTTGAGTCTGTCCAAATATTAATGTCTCTTCTGTTGGCTAATTCTAGTGCTCTTTTTAGAGCATTTTGGCTTTTTGCACCGATGTTTCTGCTGGGAGGGCTCAGGCTTCAATAGCTCTCTGAGTAGTGGTTACAGCATATCCTGCTTTCCAAACTCCATTTTTAATAAAGCTGCTTCCATTAGTGAACCAGGTTTCTATTTCCAGCAAGTGTTGCTCTTTTAAATCAGGCTAGCTTGAGTAAGCAGCTTCAATGGTTTCTAAGTAGTCATGAGTTACTGGCTCCCCGATTGCTGTGGCACTGCTGAGAAAAGAGGCTGGGTTGACAGTATTAGTAGTGACTATGTCTACATCATCTTGGTCTACCAATGTTGCTTGGTACTTAAGGAACCGAGAGGGAGACAGCCAGTGCCGCAGATATGTATGTGGTATCAGGACAGTCATCTTTTTTTCCCATAGTGAATTTTCAAGCTTCCCAGATGTTTTAGAACAGCTGCTGCTGCCCATGAGCGTCCAGGCCATCCTTTGCTTACTTCATCTAGCTGCTTTGAGAAGTAAGCTACAGCTCTTTTATAGGGTTCTATATTTTGAGCTAGGCCCTACGGCTATGCCTTGTCTCTCATGTGAAAATAACCAAAATGGTTTGGTGACATCTGGGAGTCTGAGGGCTGGGGCCCTCATGAATTCCTTCAATTCATTAAGTGCTTGTTTTGTTTCCCCAGTCCACTGTAATTCCCTCGTTTCTGTTTGCAGCAACTGGTATAGGGGTTTTACTAATATACCATAATTATAGATCCAGAGTCGACACCAACCTGTCATCCTGAGAAACATCCAAAGTTCCTTAGATGTCCTGGGCTGAGGAGTTTGGTAATTTGTTTCTTTGCATTCTTGTCCTAATTTCCACTGCCCCCTGAGACCTCATAGACCAGGTAGGTGACTTCTTGATTCGTTATTTGTGCCTCTTTCTGAGTATCTTATATCCTTTAAGTTCGAGAAAATTTAACAGGCTTACTATCCCATTCCCTACAGCTGTTTAAGGTTTTGGTGGCTATCAACAGCTCATCTACATATTGGAGCAAAACTCCTTCCACAGTGGGTGCCATCCAGTCCTCAAGGTAATTTGACAGTTGGTTTCCAGATAATGTTGGGCTATTTTTGAAACCCTGGGGTAACACGGTCCAGGTGAGTTGGGATTTCCAACCTGACTCAAGATTTTCCCATTCAAAAGCAAATAACCTTTGGCTTTCTGGATCCAAGGGCAGGCAGAAGAAAGCATCTTTTAAGTCTAAAACAGTAAACCAAACAAGATTCTCTTTGTTAACAAAGTATAAGGGTTGGTCACTATGGGATGAAGGTCTTCTACTATTTTATTAACAGCTCTTAGGTCTTGTAGTAATGGATAGCTTTTCCCATCCAGTTTCCAGATTGGCAAAATGAGGATGTTGTATTTGGATTCACATTCTACTAAAAGGCCAAATTTGAGGAGAAAAAAAAAAAAAAAAAAATCTATCACAGGTTTAATTCCTTTCCTATCTTCTAGTTTGAGGGGGTTTTGTTTGATTCTTACCAGTTGGGTCCCAGACTTCAGTCTTACCTGGATCAGTTTGGCATGCTTTGCCTCAACTGGTGTCCTGTCAGCCCACACTCCTGGACAGACTTGATCCAAGACATCCAAGGGGATCTGCTTTGTTACCTGTGGCTGGATTAGAGCTAAACTTAATACTTCCATTAACTGATCATCTTTAGTTTTCATTTGTATTTCATCATTTTTAAACTTGATCTCTGCTTCCAACGTTTTTTAAACAGATCCTTTCCTAATAATGATTTTAGGGTATTCGGCATATATAAAAATATGTGCATTCCTACCATTTTACCCATTTTGTATCAGAGAGGTTGCATGTATGGTTCCTTCTGTCGCTGGCCTTTTGCCCCAATCATGTTTAAAGATTCACTATCAAGCAAAGCTAACTGTTGATTTAACATGGAAAACGTAGCTCTGGTGTGCACTACAATTTCTACATTTGCGTCTTCTTTCCCCAGCTTCATTACAACCACGGGATTGTCTGGAGTTTGATCCTCCAGTTCCCCCTATTCTAATTCAGCAAGGTATGGGAGGTCCCCCTCCTCCCTTCTCAATTTGGGACACTGCCTTTCGTGTTTACAAAAACCACACTGATTAGCCCTTACCCTATTACTAGGAGCCCTCGTGTTATGACCTGAAAAGGACTCTTCCTATGCATCTCAAGTTTTTCTATCTCCCTGATAATTTATTTCCCAAGACTGCAATGGTTGCATAGGTGATTGTTCAACCTGACTTCCTCCTTTCATTATTGTCTCAGTTGCAGGGCGTCTAACCTTGAATCAGTATCAGCCCAATCCAGGTCTAGGGCTTTACTGAAGATTGTAAATTTCTTTGCCATGCCTGTGGGATCTTCTCTATAACTTTTTGCTATTGCTTTCCAACTTCTTAAGTCTCCCATAGAGAAATTAACCTTTAGCCTCATGAGTCCCTCAGCTTCCCTAAGAGGGGCTTGCATCACACCTTTATCTTTCAATACGGGCAGAGCCAATCAAGCTCACAACTTGGCCTGAGTTCTCCACTTAGCTGTGAAAAGGATGGTGACAGGGAGTTTTGTTGCCTTCCCCTCCCATGCTCTGGGGAAGGGGGAGGAGTTAATACTTCTGCAGTTTCCCTGGGACTAAGTAAACCTTCTAGCATTTCCTCAGGCCCCTCCTCCTTGTATTTCAAGCACCTCTGTCCTTCTATAGGATGCATGATGAGCAGCACCACTTCAACTTCTTGCTTTTTATTTCTTTTTTCTAGTGTTAATACAAACAGAATTTGGTGCAATGTTTATCGGGTGCAATGTTTATCCCACAGTCTTTCTGCCACTCCGGATGGTCTCAGTGTGAAAAATGTATCTGCATACATGACTTCATGCCACCTTCATAAGAAAAGCATTAACTATAACATCATACCACAGTTAAGGATCTATTTTCTGGCCATTTTTCTCCCCCTTCCAATTTATGCAATGGCCACCACTGGTTACAATATTTTATCAAGGTCTTTTTGCTCTTGCTTCCTCCTAGGGGATGCCCGATTTTCTTCCTGTATGTTCAGATACATCCCAGGGGATTTTTAGTATAAAATGCTGACTTTCCTGGTTTCCCATTTGCACTTGCTTTGTGACAATATCTCGTTCCAATGATGATTGTGTTACTTGTGCACTCACTCCATGTTACTTTCGCTTTGTTCATCTCTATTTCCCTTATGGGAAAACAGAACCGCAGACTGAACTCCACACTCACTTTGTACCTAACTGTATGTCTTTCACATGCATTCACTCATTCCGTACCATGCAGTTATAGTTGAATAGATAGTTCTTGTTCCAGCAAATGCTGAACTATTTCTAATTGGATTTCATAACCAGGTTGCCCTTCCCTCATATTAAATTTCCCCAAAAATGCACACTGATTACAGATAACACAAAAATGGGTGAACACTAAACACAAAGTGATAATCCTACCAATTCTACAGCAACATCCTCTATGGATTCTTCAACATACATTTAGTCACGTCTTAAAGACAGACTAGACAGAGTAGCATTTACTATGAGACAGACATTATTCAACAGATACAGGGTACCAAATTCAAAGGCATAAAACATATCCATACATAATAAATTAGGAAGCTGATAACAGTAGCGAGGACTGCACAAATTCCAGCCTATATCTACATACATGCCAAATCAGGACTATAGCCTGGAATCCGGGCAGGACTTTAACCTGCAATCCACACAAACAACAATGGGGACTCTAACCCCAAGCACCTATGTACCGCTAGCAGGTCAGTGCTGCAATACCCAGCATATGACTTATGGGTAGCCCTAAACCACAAACTAAGAGTTTCCTTCAAAGTAATGTAGTGCTTTGAAGTTGTGTACCTGTCTCAGGGTCTTGTCCGTTCCTGTGATGATCCAATGGAAACCAGAAAGTCTCTCTGGAGAATGCTCCAGGGGCACCCTGAGGGTCCCTGGCCCCAGAAGGTCTCACAGCAGAATGGACAGTCTCCTGCCTGGATTGCCAACTTGATTCAAAGAAATCACTCCACAGTACACACTGTAAAGTAAAGCACAAGCCTTTATTGGCACCAGGAGCACATGGGGGTTCAAACCTCCATACACATGTCCAAAGAACAGTAAATCTTAGGGGTTCTTTTAAATCTACTTTTCATCTTGATACAATTTTACCTAAAGGATACATTCATACAATTCAGCAAGTTACATAACTTGTGGTTTTCTTACCCTGTTGTGCACTTGGGTTAGGGCTACAACTATAGTCTATGGGCTAGTATCAATCAGGATTCTTACAGCTGTTTACCTTTGAGCTTAGTATTATTAACTGCTAATACCTGTGAGCTACGTGCTTGGTTCTTCATTCAAACTGTTATCATATTTTGCCATTAGGGATGTCCCTGCTTATAAGCAACTTACAAAAACAGATGCAAGGCTGCCTACATACTAGAGTTTTAACTTACTGTATATCATACCCTATCAGGAGGGCAGGTCCTTACTTGCAGACAGGTTTCTGTTAAGTGTGTGCGGTCATACTCTTCCAAAATAGCAAAGTTATGTCAGCTAAGGCCTAATGGCTTGGTCTCAAGATGAAGGTTCTTCTTTCAGTAAGAGTAAGGTATTCCAGGTGACTAACCCTTAGATTTTGCACCTTCTACAAATATACTTTCCTGGTGCTTGAAGTATTGGATTTTTTTTTTTAATTCTACATGCTCATTTTCTACAAATGGGCCTTTTAAAGAACTGCATCAGGAAGACTTAAAGGGAAAGGAGGATTAGTAGAAAACAAAGGCAGCATATCACAGTGGCTTATCTAAGTCAGCAGGACAGACACAATGTTTGTAGAGATTGGTTTGTGTCTGCCTTGTAACTCGAGCATTAGAGGTGCAAGTACCACCTAAGCAGACGTGCCTCAAGGTGTGCGGTACCAGACTGACTTCAGTCTTACTCTCTGAAAGGCTATTTGTGAGTCATAAGATGTACCATCATCAGTGCTCATTATACAAGCTGCAATTAACATTTTCAACTTGATTATACTACCAGTCTGCAACCATGCCCAGTTTAAGGCACAATGCACACAATACATTAAATAGCTACTTAGTGAACAGGCAGTTCAGGTTCTCATGAAGCTGCTTAGGTTGAAGTAGGCAAAAGCTTACACATACTTAGTTCTACCAACGTCTCACCACTCCAGTGCGTGTTCCTCCCTCCTCCGCCCAGAAGTACCTCGGGGTTTGAAACATTACCAGCTAGAAGGGCAGGCAGGTCACGCTGAAACGCTGCAGTGTGATTGAATGAGCAGTTGGGCAGGAAGCAAGCCTTCTCCTCCAGTCCGTACCCATGCACAGGCTTCCCTTCCTGCTTGCAGACTGCAGGTCTGAACTCAACCACAACCAAAGGCTTGTCTATGCCACAGTTCTTAATTACGCTTTAACACATTAACAGTTGTAAACTGTACCACAGAGAAATGAATTTGTTGCTAGCACTCTTTAGCCCTAGGGCTTTTTCAGTTCATAAACCATCAGGATATTTTTCTGTAGGCTCCCTCCCATTGAAAAGTGTTTGAGTTTTTCTAAACGTATATATACATACAAAATTACTAATTACGCTGCAACATAGCCCAACTCGTTAAACCTTAAACCCCGGAGCAAAGGCCGTATAAAAACCTTACCGTTTTTATCGCTGCTAGAGCGGGGAGCGGGAGGGGGCAGCCGGTGGCTCCGGAAGCTAGGCACCGCTAAGCCCGCAGATCAGCCTCCAGACGAGGGCTGGGAAGCATGTCAGGTGCGGGTACGCCGCCACCGGGACCAGCTACAGCCGGCGCCCACCACCCAGCCCCTGCCTCGCCAACGGGGGAGTGTCTGGAGGAGCCCGGTGGTCCGACCCCTCACACCCCAGCCCGGCCCCGGGCCCCTCTGCCCGTTTTCCGCGGGGATCGACCGTTGCCCCACGGCCACCGGTGCCCCAACGGCAGAGGCGCGCGCGCAGCCTCCTCTCAGCACCACCTGCCGCCAGCAAGCGGTGCCCGGGCCCCGCCGCCGGGCCCAGGCGAGAAGGCGAGCGAGCCTCCCCCTTCTCCTGACAGGGAAGGTGAAGCGGCGCCCAGTCGCAGGCATGATAGGAAGGCGGACGGGCAGGCAGCGCGAGTCGGCTGTGGCGGCACTCACCTCGGTCCCCGGCCGTGTCCGCGGGAGCCCGGGACGGGAGGGGGACAGCCCGTCTCCAATTCGAAAGACGTCAGCGGCTCGGGCAGCCCGCTTAAGTACGGGCGCAGCCTACCCCGCTCCCGGCCTCGCTGCTCCCCCCGGCCCAGCGCCGCCACCGCCCACGCCCCGGCGGCGCTGACTGGCAGCGACTGTCCGCCAATAGCGGAGGCGGCGGGCCCGCCCCGGCCTTGAGCGGCGCCTCCTTCCACCAACGGGGCTGGCGGCGCGGGCCGGAGGCGCCGGCTGCGGGGCGCGGCTGCGGCCCTGACTGACTGGGGGAGGTGTCCAACCCGCGGTGCGTGTGGGCGGCGGGCGGTGTGGGCGCGGCGTGTGCGGCAGGCTGGGCTGCACCGCAGCGCATACACTACAATGGCTGCTGGAAAGACGGGAAAGCAAACAATTTCCAGGCCCGCCGCGTCCAGCCCGAAATATGGGAAAAAAATTACAGAAAAATCGGAGAACACTGTAAAGGGTGGAAACGGGGCGCAGAGGGGATGCTGAGGCTCCCGCGGTGAGTCTGCTGCGGGTTTGGGGGGCAGGCGCCGGGGTTTAGCAGGGAAATATCAGGGTTATTTAAATTATGAAAGGGGAGGAGGAGAAGGAGGGGGGAGAGGAGAGAGGAGCAGTGAGGAAAAGTTTGTGTTAACCATCCCTGCCTTCCATCCCTCTCTCTCTCTCTCCCCCCCCCCCCCATCTCCCGCAGCCCCCCACCGCCCCGCGTCGGACTTCCCCGGAGGGGAAGAGCTGGGGTGGAGAGCTGTGGCGAGCGGTGCCCCCCCTTCCCCTCCCTCGGAGGGAAAAAGAGATGATTTTCAGAAAAAAAAAAAAAAAAAAGCCCTCTCTCAGGAGTTTCCTCCACTCCTCCCCTCCCTCCCTCCCCGCGGCGCTATGTTGGTTCGCGAGCGAGCGGGCGAGGCAGCGGTCTGCCCGGGGGACGGCAGGAGGGCGCGGGGTGCCCGCCGCCGACCCCCGCGGCGGGCCGGGGCTGGGGCCGCGGCTGCGGCAGTGGGGCAGGAGCAGGAGCTGCGCGGCCGCCCCCTCCCCTCCTCGCCTCTCCGGAGCCTGTGCTGTGAATGCAATGACAGCGGCTAGAGCGGCGAGAGGGAGCGGAAGACATTAGAGACCGCGGTGCCGAAAAATGAGGGAAAAAATTAATATAAATTCGCCCCCCGCATCAAACCGGCCGAATTTCGCACAGAAATTTTCCCCGTGGACCCGGCTACCCGTGGGGTGTCCCCCGGACCTGGCGGCTGCGTCTTTGGGGGGATCCGGAGTGACTTTGGGGCACTCGGTTCCCCTTTCCCGTCGTTTTTTGGACAAAAGTTTTTTTTTTCGTAATAAAGAAACGAATTTGCCTGCTCTCCCCCTCCGAGTGGCCCAGAAGCTTTTCCCTTCCCCATCGATGTGTGTTTAGAGAAAAGTGTGGATCCAAGTAAGTGCTGAGTCGTGTTGCATTGGGGAGGGGGGTTTGCTAACTGAAAGCAGGAGAGATCCGGAGAGAGAGAGAGAGAGAGAGAGAGCAGGGACAGCTTGTTGTCAGTATCATAAACAACCAAAATGGAGGGAGAACTGAGGCATATAACAAAATAAAAATCAGAAAAAAAATGCCAAAAAATACCTAAAAATCGGGGCTGCTCCCCCTTTTCTTCCTCAAGGTAATAGAATAAAACCCGTGTCTTCCCGAGACCGTTTTAAGGTTTCAGGGAGCAAAGAGTTAATATTTATTATTTTTTTTTTTTGTTGATGAATTCTTTGGGAAGGCAAAAGCCTCTTATAACTCGCCACCGACAATGAGAAAACGTGAAAATCCCTTTCAGGAGAGAGAGGTAGGGGGAGATGGTAGTGCAGAAAGTGCATAACTTGGGGGTAATGTGGAGTGATTCTAGATAAGATAAATGCTATATGTACTGTTTTATAACTTCCTTTTAAGATGCTTTTTTGTATGTTTGGGGGTCTTGGGGAGGTGGGGGCCCCTTTCTTTTCCTCTATTTTCTTTTTGTTTGTTTCTTTCTTTCTTTCATCACCATCCCCCCCCCTTTTTTTTTTCCTTTTTTTTTTTTTCCTTTTTTTTTGCGTCCCTCCCCGGGCCGGAATGTAATGCCTTTGTAGTGTCACTTTCCTGATCTAATTAGGATGTGTGAGGCAAAGAGTAAACCTTTCCGGTTTATAAAGTGCATTTTCGTTGCCTTTGAATTTCCAGTTTTCCTGGTGGCTCCCTCCTCTCTTTAAACTGAATTCTTCAGAGTAGTGTGGGGTTGAGGTAATGCTCCATAGGGAAAGCAGAGAGGGCTCAGGCACAGGGCACCTCTTCTGCGGGTGGTTGCTGATTTCCCTGGCACGTTTAGTTCACCTGTTTGTCTCCTACAAAGAATGTGTTCTGCAGTCTCCTCGTTTTAATTATGCAAAATAATGATGCCTCATCTCGCCTCACATTGAAGTTAATGCGAAAGTGCTGCTGATGTTGGTTCCACGTGGGATCAGGGACATAGCAGGGCATTTTAAAGAGACAGGTTCTCTTTTCCTAGGGTTATCATCACCTCTGCAGAGATGATGCCTCTAGCAGAGGGATGGTTCGTTGTGTATTTTTGTAATGGAAAGGTGTCAAATCGGCCCTGGTTTGATAAATTAAGGCAAGATAATAGGGGAAAACGTACAGACTCGTTTGGATGAAAGCAATTCTTTTGTGTGTCGCAGGTCTTCAGGGGAGTTCTCTTGGTGTGTCAATTAAAATGCTGCGTTTTGGAGAGCGTTTTTTTTTGGAATGGGTGTTGCAGAAATGAAATGGTCTCAGGTTGTTTAATATTAAAACCTAGTGCTGTTCTGCTGGCTATGAACTCACAGGGAGGAAACCTGTGTGCATAGGGCAGCTTCATAGGCATTTTGCAGAAGTTGTGAAGTACGTTATTTTTACTTTGAATAAGTTAAGTTTTGTTGGGGACACCTGAGTTTGTTGAAAAGTATTGTGGAACTTGTTCTATGCTTAAACTTTCTGAACAGTCCCAAAAGGTTTGGAAAATTGTGAAAATAACTGTAGGTTTTAATTGGCCAGAGTAGGGGCTTTTTACAAGTACACCTTAGCTGTGTAATTATAACATCACTTGGAAGAGTTGCCTCTGGCTTTGTTTTAAAAAAGAAAAATCATCCTAAGTGTGGTCTAGTTTCATGTATATGTGTGCATGTGTGTGTGCATGCATGATTTTAGCATGGGTTCTGGCTGATACAGTTTTTTTGCTTAATTTTTAACTTATAAATGTTTGACTGTAATGATGTGAAATGCTTTGCTTTTCCCTATGTATTTTAATTTTTATTGAAATGTTCTATTTAAGAAACTTGTATCACCTCTTAACATGGCAATCTGATATCTTTATGCGGAATTACAGTGTTTCTTTTACATGTGCCTTGTTTTTGTAGTCTTTGTATTCAATTCTAGATTAAAAATTGAATACAGGTATGTGGTTCTCAAGAGGGAAGATGGAGTACTGAACTTGTAGGGAGGCAGTTTCAGCAAATAGTTTTTTTTTTTGAACTTGTGAAAGTTGAGTATCAATTGTGATAGCTCTCTGTATTAAATAGCATGTGTTTGCAAATTGTCTGTACATTTTCTGCAAGTGTGACCAAAGAAGCTGTTATGTAGTAGTTGTTGACTGGCATAGTCTTGTGGTTAGAGATTTTGGAAGAAATTTCAAAGTTTTCCAGTGACTCACAGTTGTGAAAATTAAATCACACTAGCTACTCTTAGGCTAGAAAAAAGTCTCATTAAGGAAGACAGATTAATCAGTTTGTATGAAGGAATGAAATTGAACATTTTTTTCAAAGCTGTTTTTTATGATTTAGAGATCTCTTTTATAGTTTTAAAGAATTCATACTTCAAAGTTCCTTTCCAAATATTTCATACGGTGTTCTCTTCTTTTTATTGACTGAAGTAACATTATGCTGAAATGCATAGAAATTTGATAAATTAATAGCAGCACACCATGTGTCGGTGTTTTTGATGTACCAGGGTAGATAAGTACTAGTAGATGTGCAGAACTAACTTTATTCATAAACTACTTAATGGTACTGAGAGCAGTATTTAAGAACTCCTCAAATACTGTGTCTGTGATCATCAGTATGAAGTGTTTAATGTGCTACTACATTTTTGCTTAATTAAGAGCTTCTAAATCATTAATATTGTAATCCTGAAAAAAGGCAGAAGCACACATTGTGGAGTATCTTTCTTGACTTACAGTTATGCATTACAAAGTAAATTCAGGGTATCCAACCATAGTATAAAATTCAGGACATAGGGGGGAAAAAGAGGAAAGGGTGTTCTCACACAATTTGATACTCTCCTGAGCTGGGTTTAATTTTAAGGTATAATCCAGATGGGGATAATGATAGCAGAAGGTAAATGTTGTTTAGGATTGTTTTTTACAAACTTACTCTCTTTTTTGTAGAAAACTGAATTATTCTTGCAGGGATGATGTGGTGTTTAATAAAATCAAAAGTAACTTTCAAAGTTTCTTGTAAGAGTTAAGATAATTATCTGTATTATATGTTGCTTTGATTCTATACATTGTTCAGTATTATTTTTTCAAGATTTTTTAAAATCTAAACATCTGGGGAAGCAAATAAGCTGTTGCTGCCAAAGTTACCCTACTTTTTGTAGGTAAACTGGGGAGTTATAAATGTATTAAAATCCCTTTTAGATACTTACCAATCCTATTCAATAATGCTTTAAAGTTAATAAGTATGGTATTCTGTAACAGTACAGCAAACACAGAAATCTAAACTGACATGCATTCATCTTTTCTTGAATGCTTAGTTCAAGTGTGTCTCTTGGTGTGTACTTTTCATTTAGTAATTATCCTGAAAAATGAGTTTCCCAGTATAGAACTTTGAGATTAAATTAAGAAGCTTTTTAAAAGTTTGTGTCATTCCAAAAGGCACTGGATACAAAGTGCAGGCATTTCTAATGGTTGTCCATCTCCGCAGCTAGTCAGTCAAAATGGTGCCCTTAAGTCTCCTCCTTTCAGTGTAGTGCAAGTGTTTTAAAATTAAGGGTTAAAGAGGGCACTGCTCATGTTCTAAATAAACCACTGTTTGTAACTGTTCATGGTTATTT